CAATTTAGTTTTCTTTGGAAGTCGGTCCTACTCCTAATCCCAAGGCCACCTCCCTCCCCCTCTTTAGCCATCTTTCCACTTTTCTTCTATTGGTCTCCAGTAATACCCAATATGCCGTTTTTAGGATGTGAAATGCTGGCAAGTCCCAGGGTTGTGGATATATAGTCCTTGACCTTTATCGAGAAGTTTTAAACATATTGATAGGTCCAGAAACAGTGAAAGAAACCAGCAATTTCTTCACACCCTTGAAAGCACACTGCAGGTGAGTGCAGACCCATTTCATGAAGATTAGAAGGTGTATAATGCACGATGGAACAATTTCAGTTGAATCATTCTGCCCATAGGGCAGTGGTGGGCAACCTTTTTTTTTCAACTGAGCCAAATCTCGCCAAAACCACGATTGAAATTTATTTTGAGAGCCACATTTTTAAAACTGAAAATACATCCCCCATATAGTAATTCATCCCCCATAGTAATTCATCCCCCATATTGTAATTCATCCCCCATAGTAATTCATCCCCCATATAGTAATTCATCCCCCATAGTAATTCATCCCCCATATTGTAATTCATCCCCCATATAGTAATTCATCCCCCATATTGTAATTCATCCCCCATATAGTAATTCATCCCCCATATAGTAATTCATTCCCCCTATAGTAATTAATTCCCCATATTACGTCCCCAAGTCCCCCCTGTGTCAATTCACTTACCTTTGCTCCGCGCGTTCCTCTCGCCGTGTTCCCGCGCCGTTCTGGTCTTCAGGGAGGACTGTGAGAGGAGAGGAGCTCGTCAGGCTGCCTCGCCTACATCCTGACAGCTGCAGAGTCCTGACTTTTGGGGCGACCGCCCGAGAGGAGGGAGGGGAGGGGAGCGGGCGCCCGGCACACAGAAGAGCCGCATTTAAGTTTGTAAAGAGCTGCATGTGGCTCGCGAGCCGCGGCTTGCCGACCACTGCCCTAGGGGAAACCACTGAGCCCTTGTATGTAGTATCTTCAAACTCCAACCATTCTTGGTCAAGAATCGGAAGAACAGGCAAAGACCACACTGACGGTCAGGTCAAGTCTGCCTGTCAGTTTTTCAGGTGGACCCGGTCAGACCATTCAGAGCTTTCTATGGAGCAGCTGATACCCGCCAAAATCCAATCTGATCCTGTACGCTAAAAACAGTCGGATGGGGATCCATTCCTCATCCGACTGGCAGATCCGATCCGATGACAGTCGGATGGAAACAGACAGGCGGCCCGTTTCCATTCAACTGACCTATAGAAAACAGTGGGCTGTGTCTGTGTCCGTTCTGCAGCAGCGAAGCGGAGACAGATCTGTCATCCACTTGTTTAGCAGGGATCAGCAAAGAGATCCCCCGCTGAGCAAGCGGATCCACTGACAGGTCCACCCCATCTGAAAGGAACCTTATGTTCAGCATATTGATATTTACTAATTTAGAAGTGCTAGCAAGGATTGAAAAGTAGGAGACTAAGGCTGCCCACAGACGGGTGTTTTTTTTTTTTCGATCAGTCGGGGGGCTGATCGAAAAAAAAAAAAAAAAAAAAAAAAAAAAAAAGGAACAGATTCCCCCACCCACATAAGCAAGATGGGTGGAGTACTCATCCCCACTGTGCTCTTATATTCTGTCAGCAGGGACTCCCCCACTAAAAGCATACCTTGATCAGAGCCACAGATGATTTTATTTCAGTCTCTGATCAAAATAAACATTTTCATGATTCACGTTTGATAGAACTCGATTGTTAGATTAACTTCTGTTGAGCAGGAATGGCCATAGATGGACTGAAATTCAGTCGGTCCCTGCTGAACCAGAAGTATTTCAATCCATCTATGGCAGGCATAATGTGTGGTATTTGGACTTCTCAGAAGTTGTTCAAAAGGAGTTGCTAAGTGTAAAGTAATATATTCCACACCGTATTTAGATTGAATGGTAAAGTTGAAAATAGTGGACCAGCAAATTAGAGGACAATTCCAATTCCTCCTGTAGTTGAGAGAATGACTTAAATTCTTTAGAGGAGTATAAATGACGAATACATTTTATACCATATGGGGACCATCTTTGTGCAGAAGTCCTGACAAGGAAGGATTTGAGCACAGAGTTATATGGGGAGTTTGAACGCCATTCTCCAAAGAAATGTTTTAATATGTACAGATCTAGAGGAAAAGGGGAGTACTTTACATCTATATATTATGCTTTGTAGCTATTAGGGCTCATAGAGAGCTGTAATAGCAGCCTCAGTTGCCGTGTCTCCTTCTCTTCTTAACTGCTCTGCCCCTCTTCAACTTTTCACACCCCTTTGCCCCCCTCTGGCATATCGAGGTGTAGATTTTTACACCAACGCAGTTGAGGCAACAGTGTTTACCCTCATTTCTATCCCGTTATATAGCATTGCAATCCTATGTCTGACAGCCTCTCACATCCATGATGTTGTATTTGTTGTACTTGGGATACACATACCGCTACTGTCTCCCAATACATCAACATGTACTGCTGTTAAAGAGTTCTACATAAAGAAGTGATATAAAAAAAAAAAAAAAAAAGAAAAAAGGAAAAAGGAAAAAATGCTTGTAAATTGTAAATGTATATAGAAAAGATGACGCCTAGTGATCATTAACACACCACATGTAATCACCTGTCATACTCTGGAACATCCAGCTTCAGTTCGTCCATCAGGAGTCTCATGACACCATCACACTTGCCATGGATCTTTAGCGTAGCCAGAGCATCCTTCGGTGTCCACTGTACAGAAACACATTGTGGCTTTATAGCATACAGGGAACGGCATGTTTTCAAATTTTAGAAAAGAAAAGTGCCTTTGCTACCTACAGTAAACACACCAGAATTCAACAATCACGCAGATAAAAAAGAAAATAAAAAGTGTTTACCTAGCTAGCTACTATGGACATCCCAAATATGTAAGAGGTACAATGTCATTCTTATTTATTTCAGGTACTTATATAGCGCCATCAATTTACACAGCGCTTTACATATATATTGTACATTCACATCTGTCTCTAACCCTCAAGGGGTGTACAATCTAAGGTCCCCAACTCACATTCATACATACACATACAAGGGCCAATTTAGACAGGAGCCAATTAACCTACTAGCATGTCTTTGGAGTGTGGGAGGAAACCGGTGTACCTGGAGGAAACCCACGCAGGCACAGGGAGAACATGCAAACTACAGGCAGGTGGTGCCATGGTTGGGATTCAAACTGACGACCCTAGTACTGCCAGGCGGAAGTGCTAACCACTTAGCCACTGTCTTCTTCTACATTACCAGGCATAAGTGTAATCCTGAACATTAACTCAAAAGCATATCTAAAACAAAGAACAAAATTATGATATACTGCAGCTTAAAGTGATTCTAAAGGCTTCATTTTTTTTTTTTTTTTAATAACAAACATGTCTATACTTACCTACTGTGTGCAGTAGTTGTGCACAAAGCAGCCCAGATCCTGCTCTTCTTGGGTACCCCGCTGGCGTCTTGGCGCCTCCCTCCTGTTGGGTGCCCTCACAGCAAGCAGCTTGCTATTGGGGAACCCGCTGCTCCGTGTGTCTGTTTGCTCGGCCCCACCCCCCTCTCTCTTCTCATTGGCTTACTGGATGTGACAAAGCAGCAGGAGACAATGGCTGAAGCTGCTGTCTCAGCCAATGAATAGAGGGAGTCCCGGAATAGCTGAGACTCTAGTGCACCTCCCTGGATCAAGAGGGGACTTAGGTGAGTATTACGGGGGGGAACTGCTGCACGCAGAAGGTTCTTTACCTTCACGCATAGAATGCATGAAGGTAAAAAACCTTAAGCCTTTAGAACCATTTTAACAGTCCCTAGATATGGTGGCTGCATTAGTTTTCCTTTTTCAGGCATTTTTCCCTTTATTTTTACCTAGTTATCCTGCCAGTAACACTCTTCCTGGAAATGCTCACTCACTGCACTGTGTCTATGAAAAAGTTTTGTTGCCGGAAGAGAGGAAATGCATCTGGACTACAAAGCACCTCTCTCTCCTCATCTCCATAACATATATGAGAGGTACTCTGTAGTCCTAGCACACTTCCTGATAATGTTTGAGATAACAGGTGGCACAGCACAGGACAACACTATAACAAGATCAATAAGATATTTTTTTTTGCACTTATCCAAAAAAAAAAAAACAAAAAACTTTTTAAATGGTATATTTAACAAAACCAATAGAGAAAAAAAATAACAGAAATCAATTGTTGGGGTTTACAAACACTTTGAGAAGAGTATTGCAGAGAAAGCTGCTTTCTTTAAAAGAGAAGTGTTTGTGGTTTTCCCCAAAATATACTTAACTAGGTGGATACAGCATTGGTCCCCCACCGGCTCTAACTGTGAGACTGCCACGATCACATGACTGCTGGTGGATGAGCTCTCACAGCCGGTCTGAGCAGAGAGCAGTGACCATCAGTCACTGTCTGCTCTGCCCACCCAGCAATTACTGGAGCGTTGGGCTGTCTAGAGGGAGAGAGCGGCTGGCTGAGAGGTTGAGTCAGGTGCTGCTCCAGACTCTGAGGTGGATCCCGACTTTGAAATCGGGATCTTTCCACAGCCTGGACCAGCTGAGTGACGCCAGCTGACAGTGAACTTCAGCCCTCTGTCTGCTGAAAAACGGGTCACAGGAGTGCACTCCTGTGATCCACAGGACGAACTGCACTCCTGTGATCCACAGAAGAAGCACAGCCAAAAAAGCTTTGGCTGTACTTCTCCTTTAAGTGCAGAGCTATTCATTTTTATTTTAGTGGGGTTCTGCTTTAGCAAAACTTGCGTTTCATGTTAATATTTAAAAACAGCTCAGACAGTCCCTGTAAGCTGCTTACATTGAAAAAAAAAAAAAGGGGACGCAAAGGGGTATAATGTGTTTCAATTGAAAGGAGACTTTTTTTTAATTTAGCAAATATTGTCAACTGAACCCTTAATATTAACAAAAGAAAAAAAAAAAATTACCTGTAAATTTACAATGTACAGCTTTGGACGTCGACTTGCAGGTCTATTCATTCCCCACAAACAATGGTACTTCTTTAGCACCTGAAAACAGTAGTTAATAATGATGAAAAAGAAAATAAAATAAATGTGTGTGTGTGTGTGTGTGTATGTATATATATATATATATATATATATATATATATATATATATATATATATATATATATATATATATATATATATATATATACATATATACATATACATATATACACACACACACATATATATATATATATATATACACACACACATATATACATATACATACATATATACATATATATATACATATATATATACACACACATATATACACATATATATATACACACATATATACACACATATATACACATATATACACACATATATACACACATATATACACACATATATACACACATATATATACACACACATATATATACACACATATATATACACACACAATATATATACACACATATATATACACACACATATATATATATATATATATATATATATATATATATATATATATGTATGTATATGTATATATATACATATACACATACATATACATACACACACACACACATATATATGCGCACACACATATATGCACACACACATACACACACATATATATATAGTCAATGCCGACTTCTTCTTACAGAGAACCAATATACCACTGAGCCAGTACATCAAAAGTGTAGAATCGTCCCTGCAGCACTTACCTCCGTGGGTGATCAGCTCTCACTGCCCAAGCAGCCGATGCAATGGTCCATAGATTTGAAAGCCCTGCTCTTCTTCCCCTTCTCTCCTTAGAGTTCCTGGGACAGGTCAGAGTGATTCTGATTGTTCACATGATGGCACATGACCATTGTAACCAATTGGAATCGCTCTGATCAAACCCAAAACTGCAAGGAAATAAGAGGATAAACAGTGTTTTTTTAAAACCCAGGACAGCTACACCGGCTGCATGGGTAGTAACAATTTATAACCCATGAAGGTAAGTGCAGCAGAGAGGGTATACGGTGTTAGTTCACATTTTAATTATTTGTGAAAAAGATGAACTTACACTTTAGGACTGCTAAGCCCTCATGCACACGGGGTGTTTTGATAACGCTGGTAACGTTAGCTGTGTAAAAGTCACATTTAAAACGTGAGTTTTTCAGCTTTTTTGGGGGGTTTTTGCATTAGCGTTTAGCATCGTTTTGCCGTGATTAGCGTGGATTTACCGTGTTTTTCTGAGTTTGCTAGTTTTTTTTACCCCCCCAAAAAAATGTCAAAAAATGCTGGTTTGCTGTGTTTTTCAGCATTAGAGCATTTCTTACAGCTAAAAAACTTCTCCAGAAACCCACTAGTTCTGGGTAGCTCACTTATCATGGGCATTGTTCCAGGGACTCCAGGATGGCCAGAAATCTTCCAGCCCATTTCATGTGAACAGATATTGGCTGATCTATGGCCAGACTAAAAAGTGAAATTACTTCGACTTACCACCAATCAGATTCAACCCCGCCCTGAAAGTCTAAATGTAGTCAGTGGTTACAAGGAAGAATTCCATTATTTTGTTGGCATGACATATCCACTATACCCCTGGTGCCCAACCTGCGGCCGTATGGCTTTTTTACTATGGGGCCCTCTGACAGTCTGTGTTTCCATGAATTTTCAGGCCAGTGAAGGAAAAGAAGCGCCTCTAAGTGCAGCATAACACTTTAATTGTATATCAAAAGTGAGAACACTCACATTTAAGTGGTAGATTACAGGCATGCAAGGGCAGAAGCACGCTCCTTTGTCAAGCAGCGCCCTGCTTGACAAAGGAGCGCGCTTCTGCACTTCAGGCCAGCGCATGCTCCGAAACGTGTCGCATTGACGTCATCACGCCCACGCCGACGTTGCGCTCCAGCATTGAGGAGGACGTGCACGCCGGCCGGATCCATAGCTGTCTCCCTACAGCCACCACGCTGCTCCAGCGGGACGCGGACTCCGGGTTACCGATGACAGCTGTTCCTATCCGGTGCTGCACCTTAATACCACTACATGCCTGTAATCTACCACTTAAAGGTGAGTGTTCCCACTTTTGATCTACAATTAAAGTGTTATGCTGGACTTAGAGGCACTTCTTCTCCTTCTCTCATTATCACAGAGTCTGCTACAGTACTGTTGGAGCTTGCCCTTAGTGGCATACAGATCCCCCAATTAAAGCCACCTCAACCATCTTTACTCACTACCAGACTTTCCCGGACTTGGTGCCAGTTTTTGCGCTGATTATCATTCCTTTTTTCTCACAAGGAAAATATTTTAGACTGGCATCTAGTATTTAAATGGTTTAATGTATTTTTTTTTATACGATCTTACTTTTTTTACTGATATCCATTCTTTTTCTCTTTATATGCTTTTCTGATCTTTTATTGTGGATCTTGCTGAGATAAATATTAAATGTTACACAAGTAACTTTAGGGAGATGTATGAATCACAAATGTGGAAGCAAGGGTATATAAAGTGGTTGCAATAGCAGTTATCTCTAGCAATTTCATGTAATGTCTCCAGGATACGACTGTCTCATGCCCATGCCGGCTTTTTTTTTCTGCTGCTGCAAGTTAAATAAAATCAGATTTTTTTTTTTTTTACTGTTCCGCATTTACAAGATTGTTTTTCATATATATGTAGATCTGAATATTTGGCTCACATTAGCTTTATGTCAGACTGTGCAATCAGCGTTCTTACTGAGTGATGGCCGAGACATATTCAGAGCATAATCCACCCAGAGACTGTATGGTATTGAATTATTCATTCTGGGGATTAGTATGCAGAGATGCAAAGGTAAGAGGAACATTAAAGAACAATCATCACCCTGTGCTACACAAGCAGCGAATATAGTATGAATATGCAAGAAGAAAATGTAGTGCTTCAATTACAGTTGTAAAAACTAGACATAAAAATGGATGAAATATGTTGCAAATATATTGGAAAAAAGGACGAAATATATTGCAAAAATAAATTCTCACAATAACACTGAATGTATTACAAGTTGCCAGGTGCTATTTTAAAAGCCCAACAATTATACCCCAAACCAGCTCCTAGACTGAAGGGAAGGATAGGCCCTCTATGGAGCATGTGTACAGTATAGTGTACATGTAATGCTGGCCACAGGCGGCTCAAGTTTCAACTGATTCTGATTGCAAACACTAACCGACTCAGCAAAAGTAGATTTAGAACTCGTCTGAGCTGGATGGAAAATTATCGGCCAGACAGTGACTGCATTAAGTCAGATGCAGTCACCGTTTGGGTATTCAGACAGTCACAGGTGCTGCAGCTGTCTGAATACAAAAACCATAAGGCTAGGCTCACACTTATGCAGTTTGCGTTTGATCCATTTCTGCAGTGCTTTTTGAGTTTTGTGGGTTTTTTCTTGTTGATAGGCAGATTAAAATGCATCACAAATGCATTTAAAAAAAAATAAAAAAGTGTAAAAAAATGCATAAAAAAAAACACACTACATGCTTTGTTGCAGCACCACCATTGAACTCTATAGAACCAAAAAACGCAACTTTTTGCGTTTAACCACTTACCAACCGTGCTATAGCCAAATGACGGCTACAGCGCGGTTGTCCAGTCCTGGGAGGGCGTCATTTGACGTCCTCCCAGAACGCGCCCTCCCGCGCACCCGGCGATCTCCGTGATTGCTGTATCCTACGGACACAGCTGATCACATTATATGGTAAAAGGCCAATCACAGCGGCCTCACCGGTAAATGCAGTTGCCAGTTATCGTCCGTACTTTCATCATGCTGTCACAACGTGAGTAAAGTACTGTCGATAACCGGCAATTGTCAGAGGACAGTGATGATCAGTGCCTCCCACAAGTGCCCGGCAGTGCCGCCCACCAGTGCCCAGCAGTGCCATCCATCAGTGCCCATCATTGTTGCACATCAGTGCCGCCCATCAGTGCCCATCAGTGTTGCCTCATCAACGCACTTCAGTGAAGGAGAAAAATTACCTGTTTGCAAAATTTAATAGAAACAAAGAAAATGTTTTTTTCCAAATTTTGTTGCTCTTTTTTTGTTTATAGCGCAAAGCCCCCCCCCCCAAAAAAAAAAAAAAAAAAAAAAAAAACACACACACACACACACACACCACCCAGTGGCAATAAATACCACCAAAAGAAAGCTGTATTTGTGTGAAAAAAATGATAAAAATTTCATATGGGTACAGTGTTGCATGACCGCGCAATTGTCAAAGTGCAACAGTGCTGAAAGCTAAAAATTGGCCGGAAGAGGGTATAAGCGCCCGGTAGGCAAGTGGTTAAAAAATGTTCCTGACCCTTTCCAAAAAAACTCACCGGGTGAAAACACAGATGTGAATGTGTCCCATAGGAAATCGTGTTAGATGGACTGTAGTGCGTTTCAGGAAAACGCTTAGGTGTGAACCTAGACTAAGTGGAGATTCCTCCATCCACACGGTTTAGCAAGGATGAGGGAAATAAATAGATATCTTTCCCTCAGCCCATGGGCTAAAAGGAGAGAAAAACTAGTGGTCTATGGCTAGTTACATTAATTTTTTTGTCCCTCTGAGACAATATAAAGAAAAACGATAATGACAGCTATGCGGGAGATGCCATTTCTGATCTCCTTCTGAAGATGCTACCTGGCTATTGTTTTCTGGCAAGAACACTTTGAGTTCTGAACCTAAAACAAGCAGGCAGATCAGGAAAATCAGATGCATGTCAGAAGTCCTTACCTACATTCTGTATAGTAATTGCCATGGTTCTCTGGTTCAAAAGACGTTAAAACCGGGGGTGGGGCACAGCATAGCAGTCAAGCAACTAACATTTTTTCAAGGCAATACCAAACCAACAGTTTATTTCTTTTATGACAAGTTTCTTTCAAATATAAGTTATCTGTAATTATTAGGGTGACTTAACCCCTTGGCGCTGGCACCTCCCAGCCCTTTAAGGGTTCCAGAAGCTGGGAGGCGGAGCTTTAGGGTCATGTGACCGCCGTGATTTGCTGTCACGGCAGTCACATGATTGGGAAAGGTCCCGATCGAAAGAGG